CTGGAAGGTGGGTAGAGGATAAGTATTTCAAATGAAACAGATTTTCTTTTAATTCCCCTAATTTCCAAGTAGTAATACATAATATGGGAGCTCTGGTAGCATAGTGTCTAAGGCCCTTGACTGCTAACCAGAAGGCTGGCGGTTCAAACCCATCAGCCACTCCTCGGAAGGAAGATGAGGCAATGTACTTCCGTAGTGATACTGCCTCAGAAACCCAAGGAGGGGTCGCTAGGAGTCGGGTCCGACTCCATGGCACATAATAACAACAACAACAATGCATAATATTAATATTACATAATATATATATGTTGTTGTTATGTGCCGTGGAGTCGGACCCGACTCATAGCGACCCCTCCTTGGGTTTCCGAGGCAGTATCACTACGGAAGTACATTGCCCCATACTAAAAAAAAAAAAAAAAAACCTCACTGCCACCATAGTGACCCCTCTTTGGGTTTCTGAGGTGGTATCTCAACAGAAGTAGATTGACCAGTCTTCCTTCCAAGGAGTGGTTGGGGGGTTTGAACCACCAGCCTTCTGGTTAGCAGTCAAATGCCTTAGATGCTATGCCACCAGACCTCCCACAAAATATATAATAGTATATGAAAAAAATCAATTTGGATCTTAAAAGGCTACGAAAAGATCTTATGATACATTTCAGAGCCAAATACTAATAACATCTGGCAAATATGATTGTCAGGATTACCCATGCAAGATAGCAAATGCTCTTGATTTGAATAAATATTTGTTGGCTATGATTCCATAAGTCTGATATATTTTCACCTATTCTGATAATTTTCACTGATTTAAGAAAAAAAATCCAAAAGATTAAACCATTTATAATGTATTTTCCAAACTTTGTACTTTAGCTTTCTCTGAACACAAGAGTGTTAACTCTAGTGAACTATGGAATGACACACAGTTAGTTATTTGATTATGGGCATATTAAATATATATGTTGGTACAATCATTTGTCTTCTCTAATGTGCAAGAAAAAAAAAAAGAAAAAAATCCAGTTTTAGAGAAAAAGGAGCATGAGTTATAACTTCTCAACACTGAGAATAAATTATTCTATTCTGAACACCCACTGTTTATTATGTATTTAAGAGGTACTTTTAATAATTAAAATTATAAAAATACATTGTTTCAAAAAGATAAGCTATTAACTTCTTGTAATATAAGTTTTAAAATGATAACTTATAATACTGTAAAGTATATGAGATCCTCAATGCCAATACAATCTCCAAGAAAGTCCTTTTTAACTTTAAAAAAAATTCATTCATTGAGCAAAACTAATGAAGATCAAAAAACCCAAACTCACTGCTGTCAAGTGATTGACTCATAGTGACCCCTCCTTGGGTTTCCAAGATAGTATCTCTATGGAAGTAGATTGCCCAATTTTTTCTTCTGAGAAGCCGCTGGTGGGTTTGAACCACCAGCCTTCTGGTTAGCAGTCAAATGCCTTAGGCATTACGCCACCAGAGCTTGACTTACTAATGTATTTTCCTGTAATATTATAACATGTCAAGATCTAAAAGTAAGTGGTAACTAATGGATACACCATCTGTTTCCTAAAAAGGTGTAAGGCATGATCCTTGCCCTCAAGGGCCTTGCAGTGTAACTGGTTTTTTTAAGACATTTTTAAAACCATATTAAACCATGCAGATAATAATGCAAAAGCAACACTCACTTTCCGCTTCTGTGAAGCTTTTTTTTTTTAATTTTAAAAGAGTAAAAGTATCCCAAACTCTTTCTAATACCTTCATGAGAGAATAACATTCTTTAAACCTTTGTAATTCCACTGAAGACAGAGAATGACTAATTCTCACTGTAACCCATTTAGTGTAAAACTAAATGAAGACAAGGGATGACTAATAAGCATCAGTCACAGAGGGAGATTTAGGGCAGGAAACTGCTTCCACCTTCCTGCTCCCTGCATGTTCTCAGTTTCTGCATGATTAATAGTAAGAATTTGGCTTTGCTTTACGAGATGATCCAACCGTGCACACTGGTAAACAGAACAACTTCTTCAATCTGGGGAGTGATATTCCATGCTTATAAAAGTAGAAAACAAAACAAATAATAGCAATGTTTTTTAAAAAATCAAATGACACTCCCCTCTCCCCACCCCCATTTTTCTTTACAGTGATAAAACACTCCACCTACATCTAGCACTTGGGTTCCTCTCCTCTCACATCACGGCACCGGCACCGAGTCTCCTCTTTCAGGTCACGTCTTTCACATAAAAGTGCTAAACTAATGCCGCTTAATGACAAATTAATGTCCATGAATAAAAAATACACCTCTAATAGCATAGAGTAATTTGCCATTACAATATCATCATTGGACATGCCCCTGGTTTAATACGATGTATTTAATTCATAACCTAATGAGTGATATATAAAAAGAGGGAGATGAACCCTGCAATTACATTTATGTGAGTCTGTCACCTTATTTGTAAAACCTTAGAGTCATTTACATTCAAATTAGAACAAATGAGTGATTTCACAAAGTGCAGTGATAAATGACCATAGCAGCCCAAGACAAAACTGTATTTCCTGTGAGCACATTAACAGTTTCCTATTATTTGTTAAAAATCACAATGCATCCCAGTGTGGTGTGAATAATGACTTTTTTACTGATTAGGTCAGAAGACTAATATGTAGCAAAATAAATAATTTTTCTTTTCATTTTTTCTGATTTTTGCTTTAAATTAACTACTGAGTTCTGGTGGATTCACACTGCCACCTGCTGCCTAGCAACAGATACTAGAAGTCTATTCCTATTTAAGGAAGTTTCACCACTTTGGTGCTTTTGTTCTGAAAGTCTACATAATTTTTTTTTTTTTTAATCAAATAATATCCTAATACAGACTGTGATACCTGGAGAACAGAAAGAACACTTGTTAATCAAACAATAAAATATACTACTGGGGAGAGGTGCAACAAAATGGTGTATTTTTTTTAAGCTAACTACAAAAAGGACATCTTTAGTAAAGCGTGTGCTTCCTAATGCATTTAGGGGCCACAATACTAAACCCAGCAGCAGCATTCACATGTGTACAGGGAGCTTCAGGCCAAGGCTGAAGGTGGTGGCCAGGAGACTAAGGGAGCTTTCCCAAGGAATTCTCCTTGGACGTGCTTTATTACAAGCACTGAAAGATAGTAGGAGGTATTCATAGAAAATTACAGGTATATACACACATATATGCAACATTCATGCTATGCATTATGACAATTAGCACTATAAACAAAGTGCTGTCAACATATATCACTAATGATTATCTGCCGTGGAAAAAGTGAATTGGGTGATGATACTTAAAACTCAAGCTGTAATATTTGATGTAGAAATGTCAAATAAAAGTAATTTCAATTTCACAAGTCAAACACACACCTTTGAAAGTCTTGTGACCTTTCTATGTTATTCCCATTTGCTACCTGAAGAAAGGGATTAAAAACAGCTTTCCCATACCACCCAACAATATTAACGGGGAAAGAAAGGAAAATAAGACAAAAACAGCTAAACATTTACTCTTGGGTGAAATGTGCTGAGATAGCGACACTAAGTTCATATACCATATCTGAATTACTAGTTGGGTGAATACGGCTGACATTCTTGCCACTGCCTCCCTGGAAATGGGTCCCCATTTCCCAGAGTTGCTGAGAAGATTCAATAAGATGATACATGAGAAAGAGCTTTGTAAACTACATAACGCTACTCAAGTGGGAATGGGGAACAGAACTCAATGATAAAGGGTATATTTAGAATTAGAAGGAATGATTAAGAAGGAAAAGAAAGTAATGGGACAGGAAAATAAATAGGATTTTTCTCTTCACTAAAATAATGTAACATGCACAAGAATATGAAAATTGGGTGAATTTATTTTTTTTTTCAGATTTATTTTTATTATTGTTATAATGCTACAATAAATACATGTAAAAGTCATACTAGTAGAGAAAAGGGAAGGATTCTCAAATAGGAAATTAGTAGTTATGTCATACTAGTAGAGAAAAGGGAAGGATTCTCAAATAGGAAATTAGTAGTTATTTATCCATAACATAAAAGAACTGTCTGTCTAAGAGGTCCCACATCTTCCTGCCTAATCAAATATCTTTCATCCAAGAAAAAAATGAAAGATCTTTGGAATAGAAGGTCTGTCACTCACCAGCTATGTCACCTAGGGCAAGCTGGATACATTTTGACTCTCCTATTTTTCAGCTGTGTGAGCTCTGGTAGCATAGTGGCTAAGGCACTTGACTGCTAACCAGAAGGCTGGCGGTTCAAACCCACCAGCCACTCCTCAGAAGGAAGGTCGGGCAATCCTACTTCCGTAGTGATACTGCCTCGGAAACCCAAGGAGGGGTCGCTATGAGTCGGGGCCGACTCGACGGCACATAACAACGACAACAACAACATTTTTCATCTGTAACAATGTGCAAAGTTGTTGTGAGGACTGAACGTGAATGTCAGTGAATGGACATATATGGGAGTTTCCTCTCTTGTTTCCTCAGAAGTCTTTCCTGGCCATCCCAGAAAATCAGGGAAGAATGCACAGATCACTCATCGTTTCTCCAGCATTCACTGCCTGGGATATTCATGTGATAATTAATTATATATGATTTTGTCTTATATTAGCTACTTTTATGTAAATCTTGTATGACTACTCAACTTTTCATGCATTTATACTTATTTCCGCAACCAGAAAAACTGCTCAGAACTGTTGTCAGTGCCATTGCTCCAGGACCTGCCCCAGAGTACTGGGGACCTGAGGTGGGCGTGGGGTGAGGGGGATACACACTTCTGGATACGACACAAGAGCTGCAGCTGCCCTCTTGCCTCTTAGCTTGTGTCCTGGAGAAATGGCACCATCACAGACCATAGTTTCTGCGAGTGAGTTAGGCTGGCATTTTACCAATCACCTAGCTCCAGTTGGTAAGATGTAGCTTATGACTGCTGGGAAAGGAATGTGATGGCTATATTAGCAAGATGCAAGCTCACATACCTGGATGAGATAGTGGGAACATAAACTGAGAAGCTCCAACAGCTGTAGGTGGCTGCCAGCAGCTAACACATCCTGGATCACTCCTGGCTCCAGCAAAATCTGTTTTGTTTTTTAATAAAAAGAAAACTATCAGTTACACCAGCTGATATTGCTTAACATATAAATATACTATACTATATTTGGATCTCTGGTGCCATAGTGCCTAAGTCATCTGACTCCTAATCAGAAGGCTAGCAAACCCACCAGCTGCTCCTCAGAAGGAAGACTGGTCAATCTCAAACTTCTGTAGAGATACAACTTCAGAAACCCAAGGAGAGGTTGCTGTAAGTTGGAATCGACTTGACAGCAGTGAGTTTGGTTTTTTGGATACTATATTTAAATTTCTGCTTAGCGTACTCTATTTGAACTAATACAGCTCCTTAAAACAGAAGTCAGGCCTTTTCTTTCTCTTCAACTTAATGAGCTGAGGCACTCATGTTAAAAGTTAAGTTCTGTCTCGCTGCATTGACCGAGTCTCATTTCCTGTGTAAAGCTATGTGCCCAACCACTTATTTTCTGAAAATGATATGAACATTTTCAAAGAATAATACAAGCCTTAAAATTTAGGGTAGTTATTTTTGCAAACTGTTTCAACCTTACATCACAGTGATGTAGTCTTATAAAATATAAAACACCACATATTAGTTTTTCTAAGTATATCTTAGAACTTTGGTCTTTGGTAGATCATAAAATGGTATGATATTTTAGAGAAAGGGGTTCCTGTTTCTCTTTGCAACGTGAGACCACAGGGCACTAGTACTCCTTTTTACTTCTAAATCCTACAAAAGTGAACTTTTAGTAGGAATGTTCATTTTTCTCTTTCTCAATCTCAGGTTTTCTAATCCTTTCTATTTAAAATAAATGTTACACAAATACTATTTCTAGAATACAAAGACATCACAGAGAAACAAAACTTCCACTTATCCTGTTGATATTGATATTGATTCTTTTTTTTTTTTTTTTGGTTAATTCCAACTATCTGCTTATTTTTGACAGCTTTTGAGCTCCTGATCATGACTACAGAAAAACCCACAACCATGTTGACAAAACTCACTTTAAATGCATGACTGCCAGGGATTAGTAAGCCTTTGTGGTACCCTAGCTATCCTACCCTATTTCCCAAGCAGTGATTCCCAAAATGTGGTCTCTGGACCAATACCATCAACATAATGTGGGAACTGGAAAAAACTGCAAATTCTTGGGACCCTAATAAGGCCCACTGACTCAGAGAAGTTCAGGGTTGGGAAGAACTATTGGTGTTTTAACAAGCCTTCCAGGTGGTTCTGATGCACAAGGAAGTGTGAGAGCCACTAACTCAGTCAATCCCTCTACTATCTCTCAGTTCTCTTTCTCTTCAAACCTCCACCTCTTTCTCTCCCCTCCTCACTCTCACCTCACGATCTTCCAAAGGCTCCCACCACCAAATCTACTAACATAACTACCTATACCTGAATCCATACATTTTCTTTTCCCAGAAGTCCACTCATACAATAAATCCAACCCCTTCTCCTTAGAGTTCTCCCCTCTCATTCCCGCATCATCAACATCTCTCCTTCTATGGGATAATTCCTTTCAGCATACAAATAAGCTTTTATATCCCTGATCTCAATAAATAAAAATTCCACCCTTGGTCTCGTAGGTTTTTCCAGCTCCCCCCATGCTCCCTTCACCACAAACGTCTTCAGAAATGTTCTCCATGCCCACTGACTCCATTTGCTTTACTCTGGTCTCTCTTGAACCTGTTCCCATTGTGTTTTATGGCCATTCTTCCACTAAAATTCTCTTGTTTAGGTTACCAGTGACCTCCACATTTCCAAAAGCAATAACCATTTCTCAATATTTAATCTTAACAATCCCACAACAATTAGCAAAATTTATTACTCTCCACCTTGGAACAATTTCTTTGTTTGCCTCTGAGACAATACTTTCTCCAGAGTTTTTTTTTCTACTTCACTAGTCACTCAATCTCAGTCTCCTTCCCAAGCTCTAAACTTTGGAGATGCCCAGAGTTCAGTTCTTGGGTCTCATCTCTCCTCTCCTCTCCTCTCTCTACACCCACTCTGTGGATGATATCATTGACTCCCTGGCTTTCAAATGATGGACATGCTGATGACACTTGGATTTGTTCTCTAGTCTCAACCTTGCCCCTTGAACTCCAGATTCTTATCTTCAGCTTTGTATCCTGTATCTCTGCTTGGACATCTAGTGGGCATCTCGAACTGAACATGCCCAACAAAACTCTTGAGCCTCTCTAACAACCACCAGATATACTCCTATCCCAATTCTACCATATCAACACAACTCTATTCTACTTGTTAGTTAAAACCTCAGAGTCATCCTGGACCCCTCTTGTTTTCCTTATACGTCATACCTGATCCTTGTGCCACACTTACCACTGCCTTTAAAACAGCTCCAGAATCCAACCACTGCTCACCACTTCCATCATTATCTCTTTAGTACAATCCATTCTTTCTCCCTAGGCTTACTGTAATAGCCTTCTAACTAGTTGCCCTGCTTTCTCCTTTGTCCACTTGCACATTGTTTCCAACAATAGCAGCCAGACTGGTCCTTTAAAAACATAAATGAAATAATGTCACTTCTTTATTCAAAACTCTCTAATGACTTTCCATCTCACTGAAAATAAAAGCCAAAATCTTTGCTGCATCCTAAAAATTCCCCCTCTCTGACCACCACAATGGGCTTCTTGCTATTGCTTGAATATGCTGAGCACCTAGTCCTTACAACTAGTTGTTTTTTCTGCCTAGATTGCTCTTCCTCCAGATATCAGTGTTGCTCATGCCCTCACATCCTCAGGCCTTTGCTCAAATATCATCTAATCTGAGAAGCCTTCCTTGATCATATTGTAAACAGTACCCCACTCCTCATCACCCCTCATTCCCTGGATCCTTACTCAGCTTTACTCTCCTCCCTAGCACTGACCACCTCTTGGCATATTACATACTTGTTTGTTTCTTCTCTGTTTCTCCACTCACCAGGATAGAAGCTCCAGGAGAGCAGGGACTTGGTCTATTTTATATCCCCAGCATTTAGAACAATGCCCAGCACACAGCTCTCAGTCAATATTGATTAATTAATTTAATAATAAAATTACTGCTGTGTTCTATTTGTCCATACTTCTATGATATGAATTGTCTACAATCCTCCATAAGATGGATTTTCACAACAGCTACAATAATAGGCTCAAACATATCATAGCGACCCCTCCTTGAGTTTCTGAGGTGGTATCACTACAGAAGTAGAATGCCCAATCTTCCTTCCGAGGAGTGGCTGGTGGGGTTGAGGTTGAACTGCCAGCCGAGGATAGCACAGAATTAGGTAAAAAAAAAATTTCTGTTATACATAAGAAGCTGAATCAATGGCAACTACCAACTACATACTTGTCTATAAAACCCACTAACCCACTACCATCAAGTCAATTCTGACTGACAGAGACCAATAGGACAGAGTAGAACTGTTTCCGATGTTGTAAATCTTTACAGAAAAAGACTGCCTCACCTTTCTCCTGCAGAGCTGCTAGTGGGTTAGGACCACCAACCTTTTGGTTAAACATACATACTTTTGTAATTCAGAATTCGTTTTATTAATTAACTAACATACAGGGAAAGAGGCAAAGGGATTATAGATTATATTTCTGAGCTAATGAAGTAAAGAAGTGAAAAAGTTATGCAAATGTGGCAAAAACACCAATGTTCACTCTTATTCTAAAAATTATCTCTAGCTCTTTTTCAATCAGAAGCAGCAGCCTAAATTTCTCCAACTCCTCAAGGAGGGAGGCTTTGACTGACATTCAGGAAATTAGTGCAGCCCCATCACAGGAGCAAGGATGTAGTACTTTCTTGTAAGAAAGGCATGGCCTAAGGCAGAGAATGGGGAATAGATGGATTAGAAAGGTTAGTCTTAGCCTTTAAATCCTGTCAGTTGCGCTCATTTCACACAACTGGCATTCATGATAACCTCTGAGGCTTGGTAATGCCAAACACAAAGACAGATATCACAGAGAGACAAGATGAATATTCCATAGCATGTGTAACACGTCCAGCAGCTCACTTTGAGAAACATTCACATAAGAAACGCGTGCTGGGATTGTTTTTGTCTTTGCTTTGTTTTTGTAGTTTGTTTTGTCTTGTTTTTTCCTACTCTCATTGTAACATAAGTTTTTCTAAAAGATACTTTAGCAAAGAAAATCCCTACCTGCTTTGAAAGGGAAGAGTTTGGAAAAAGAAACCCTACCAGGACAGCTGGTTCTTGCTCATGGAAACACAACCAGTGTTTGTAACCCCACTTGCGCTTCAGTCTTTTAAATTCAGCTCTGTTGATCTTCGTGGCTGGTTATTCTAACATACTGTAGAGGATTTGTGCTTGGGCAGGAATACCAACAGATTTACAATATGGTGAAATTCTCTATCACCTCAGGGCAGTGGTGGTTCTGTGTTAGAATTCTCTCCTTCCAGGTGCCACTCCTCGGAAGGAAGATTGGGCAATCCTACTTCCGTAGTGATACTGCCTCGGAAACCCAAGGAGGGGTCGCTATGAGTCGGGGCCGACTCGACAGCAAACAACAACAACAACAGGTGGCAGACTCAGGTTCAGTTCTTACCCAACACACCTCATGAAGAGACATCACCTGCCTATCGTTGGAGGTCTGTGTGTTGCTATGATGCTAAACAGGTTTAGTTCAGACTAAGATGGTCTAGGAAGAAAGACCTGGAGATCCACTTCTGAAAATCAGCCAAGGAAAACCCTAGATCACAACAGTTCGATCAGCAACCAAACATGGGTGGCGCTGGACTGGACATTTTGTTCCATTGTACATGGGGTCACCATGAGTCAGGAACTGACTCAAAGCAGCTACCAACAACAATATATATCACCTGCCCAGAAGAACTGGGCAATAAATATAGTCTTCTGCAGAAAGAAGGCATCTCACACACCCACATTTATGGAGGACAACGAAGGCAACTAAACACAAGTGCTGCAGGCATTTCTTGGTCACACTTAGGCCTGTAAGAAACTCATACCCATATGGTCTGGCACTCAAA